CCAAACCAGGGAAAAATCCTCAAACCTCTCTCAAAAGCTCTCCCCTAAAACCATATGGCCGAAGGCCGAACAACCTCCGACAATCTCCTCCGTCGTTTGAGGGTAGATTCGGGTTTACGAGGTGGAAAAAACCAAACTCACCACAAGCTTCCTCTCCATCCCGTAAACCCGAATTTACTCTCGAAAAATCAAAAGAAGATCTAGATCGGAGTAGATATAGATCCAAAGCTTCAACTTTTACCTTCTCCAACGCGACCCTTCGTTTCCCGGTACGCCCTCCAACGAAAGCCCTCGGCCTTTTATGATATTCTTTCAAAAAAACTCGAGTACTTTTTGATTTTTTGCTTGGTTTTGTTTATGTTTTTGTACGCTTTTTTCACTTGCTTTGCACAATGCTTTTTTCGTAGCTTTTCCGATTTGGTTGCTTTGTGTTTTGGCTCGTGTTTGGTTTTAGTTTGATGTTGTTGTGTTGCCTGTATTTTGTGTTTTTTTCAGCTCCAGTGATGCCCATTTTATAGCCTTCGAGGGGGTTTATCTCCCTTGAATCGAGCGTTGTGGTCCCAATTTCGAAGGTTTGTTGCTTGACCGGCTAAACGGGATGGGTCAGTCCTGATTTAGTCGGGATTATTTGCATGGTTTATTGTTTCATCATTGTGCGGCCGGAAATCTCGACCGGTTGTTGGCTTCGATCTGCCACGCGCTACATGTGTGGCATCAGTGTTGTATGATTTAGAGTTAAAAACCCTTTAATTTGGGCCATTGATTTGCGCCCGATCTGACGGCTGAAACCGTGTACGGCGCCTGGTTAATGTGTTGAAAACCCTAGACCTTTGTTGGGCTTCCCACCGAGTCTGTTTGTTGGGTCAGGCTTGCAGGCTCAGTTGGGCTTTGACCCGAACCTAGACTTTGGACCTGAACCACAAAAATAAAATAAAATAATAAAAATAATATATATATATATATATATATTGAAAACTTATATAATATATGGTTTTTAAAAACATTTTGAAAATATATATAATATATGGTTTTAAAAAACATTTTGAAAACTTATATAATATATGTTTTTAAAAACATTTTTGAAAAAATATATTATGGTTTTAAAAAACTTTTTGAAAATATAATATATAGTTTGAAAACTTTTTAATATATATATATATATATATATATATTTAAAATTATATATATATATATATATAAAAAGTTTTCAAAACTATATTATATAATTTTCAAAAAGTTTTTTAAAAACCATATATTATATATTTTTTTCCAAAATGTTTTTAAAAACATATGTTATATAAGTTTTCAAAATGTTTTTTAAAAACCATATATTATATATATTTTCAAAATGTTTTTAAAAACCATATATTATATAAGTTTTCAAAATATTTTTTAAAAACCACATATTATATATATTTTTAAAATGTTTTTAAAAATCATATATTATATAAGTTTTCAAAATGTTTTTTAAAAAACCATATATTATATATGTTTTCAAAATGTTTTCAAAAAACTATATAATATACATTTTCAAAACTATATATTATATATATTTTTAAAATGTTTTCAAAACTATATAATATATACATTTCAAAAATGATTTTTAAAAAACAAAAAATATACGACTCCGGAAGAAAATGAGTGTCTACATTGTGTAAATTGTATCAAATGATAACCTTGGCTTAATGGTTTGTTGCTTTCTCCATTGCCTAGGAGGTCCCAGGTTTGAATTCCTTATGTCCCTTTTCTTTGTTGATTTGTTTTCTTTCAATCAGAGGATGACATGTGTCACCTCTAATTGGAGAAAAATAACTCTATTAATTGAAAATAAATTAAAATAAATTTAATCATTCAATCGAATGATAACATGTGTCATAAACTTGTTACTAATGACGTATTACACCACATGATTTGAGGGTTATTTTTTAATTTATTAAAATTAAGACGAAATTAAAAGAATATATAAGTAACAAGGACTAATTATGTAATTATACTAAAATGATTTAATTGTCACGTTACCTATACCCTTAAATATTAACGGCATGCGGCTTGACTAAATCATTTAAAAAGTTGGATGGTTTGATTGATTAAATTGAAACGTTGATGTTTAAAATGAAATTCGGAAATAGTATAGTGATTACCCGTGTAGTTTACTCTTTTTTGTAGTTAGAAACTCAATATAATAATTCCTTATAATTGGGGGACTATTTTTATATTTTACCCTATTTTTGTTTATTTCTGTTTTAAAACTTATGTTGCATATCCTTATATTCAGAAACGCATAATCACTAACCTAACCCTCAACAAATCCGTTGTCTCACGGCGGAAAATCCCAGCAGTCAAAGGTATACTTTTTTTTCTTTTTTTTTTGGCTCGAAAGTCTTGGGTTTCACTTATTTCGAATTTGCTTTGTGGGGTGTCTCCATAACCATTTTGACTTGTGTTTTTTTTTTTGGGGAAATTAATTTTTTTTACACGTTGTCTCTTCCTCAATTGTCCACTCTCAGCGGTGGCGCCTGGGATACTTAGTATTTGTGACTTGTGAATACAAGCAAAGTCTAGTTTTTTTCTTTTTTCTTTCTCCTTTTCTAATTCAAGTCTTCGTATTTGAGACTTTGGTGGTGATAATCTCTTATGTTGATTCAATTTTTCATTTTAAACATCGGTATATGGTTTACTTTATCTATTGTTTTTGGTTCTGCTTGAAATCTCTTTTATTGATTTTTCTAATGATTCCACACTAATCATGTTTCCATGGCCTTTTTTCTTTTAATTATGATGGCAGATGGTAGAATATTATCCTGGCTATGATCACGTCATTTGGGACTTCATAGAATATGATAACGAGGATGCATTTGTTCCATGGATTCACTATCAAGCCCAATTAGTTGGTGGTTATGATGTGTATCAATCACTCATGTTATCAAAAATTTCGAGGGACATCACACAAAAATGGGCAGGTAAGTGTGGAATCGCTCTATACAAGGGAAGACAGGTCTCAAACTAGATATAATGCTGTTGATGATGTTATTGGTTGGCCTCCACTGCAAGGCTTTGTATACATGCCTGAATTACTTAACTTGCTTCTTCGCTCTGGAGCTCGAACTGACATCAGATTTCAGGGCCAGCTACCTTTAAACATGGCTATTCAGAAAATAAGGTATTAGTTTGGAATGTTTTCCTAGTTGATGAATGCTCATGCCTATAAAGCTTTCTCCTTTCTTGTATTACATTATGGAAGCAGGGCCTGAAAGTTTATTGATCAGATTTTTGTTATAACATTTTTCCTAGTTGATGAATGCTCATGCCTATAAAGCTTTCTCCTTTCTTGTATTACATTATGGAAGCAGGGCCTGAAAGTTGTATTGATCAGATTTTTGTTATATAACATGTATATATGCATGTCCGTTTCTTATTGCAGCTGGAATCCTCCCTTCAATGACTGGTCTACAACACAATCTCTCTACATGACAATTGTCTTTTGTCAATGCAAGACAGAATTTCTGGAGAACGTTAGATTGCTTTTTAGGGCCACGAACGAGGTTGAGAAAGAAATATTTGCTACGTGAAAGATGGGAAACTTATTGAGATAGCTGTCTTATTAACCGTAGCACGAGAAGAAGTTACATCACCGTCTCTTTTCACAAGCTTATGTTATCCTGCTTTGAATGGGAGTATGTCCCTTCGGCAATTGGTCTTATCAGAGATTGTATCACTAATGGCTTCACAAATAACATTAGTTTCTGCTAGTAAAGAGGTGCATGATGAGCTGAGCAATAAACTGGAAACAATGATGTCCATGTTACGAATGGTTGAAGTTTTTGAAAGGGTTGGTGATAAATCGAGCTATATCGTCGATACCTACCTAAGGTGTGCTTTTTACGATGCTTCTATTTCCCTTATTTAGTGGCACTTTAGCTTGTAAGTTAAAAATATTATGTCTAGGTCTGTCTTTTTTTCTTCAATATCTAATTTAATGGGATTTGTTTAACATCTATTTTTTTCTCTTTTGGTCTTGTGGCGGTGTGCACTTATGGTTTGAGTTAGTCTTTTTCTTGACTAAACATTGTCTTTTGATTTACAGTTGAGCGAGAAAGGATTGGCTGCACAAATTGCATGCTTGTTTATTAGTGAAGGATTTGCCGAATATAAAGACTTTGAATTGAAAAGGTTTCAAATTTTGCTTCTTCCATGTTGCCTATGATATTTTTCTTGCATTATCACATTTAGAAATTAAAAAAATGATAATATTTCTTCTTCTTTTAACAATCTAACTTTTCTTTTTAATTTATTTTGAAGCCTTATTCTTTCTACTGTCTTCTTTTGGTTTTGTTTTGATTTGTTCTGATATGATCCATGTGATGATAGACCAGTTTCATCTGTGAGCATGACAGAATTCCATAAGGACTTTTTGGAATTATTAGGTAATTGCCTTATTTGTTGCTCATTCGGATACTACTTAGATTGTAAAGCAAATAATAGGTGCGATTCATGCTACACCATAGTTTTGTTTCAATGAGAAAGTAAATTACCCTGTGAAAGTGAAGGCACTCAGTTGGAGGGTGGGACTACAAAGATTTACAAACATGATGTGGATGCCATGGTAAGTAAAAATGGTATTCTGTTGATTAATGAGCTGTTTAAAGTGTGTACATGGTGTCTAGTCTTATTACACCTTGAGACCAAGCTGATTATGTGCTTGTCATCTTATAAAACATAAAGTGGATTCCTCGGTTGTCCGACCAGCCACTAACTTTGGAGGCCATCCCAATACTCAATAATGGGATGATGCTAAGGGGTTTTTCCACTCAAAGTATCTCTTGAAAAACTATGGTAAAGGTTAATTTATTCCTGTGATATTTGCTAACATTATGAATGCCAGTTTCCAATTGCTGCATGCATTTCTCTCATGTTACTATGCTCTTGAATTGTTGTTTTTCTTCCTGTTAATGTACTTGTTATCATTATTGTTTAAGTTACTATTCGTATTTTTCATGCAGTTATCATCCTTATGAAAGATTGGACTCCCAAAAAATCCATCTTCAAGCTAGTTTGTATATTATGCCTACCACAGCTGGTTTGTTGTTTCATACGTTTTCCCAGTCTGCTCTCTTTAATGTTTTTATTTTAAGTAATTGTGCATTTCATTTCACTTCATTATCAGAAAGTATCCTTGGAGAGTATCAGGTTGGTTGCATGCAAAACTGAGGAGATCGAGGCCATTGTTGCAATTTGGCGAGGCAGGGAAGCTCATCGAACTGGCTTCACTGCTAATGGTGGCTCCAGAGAAGTTGATCGTAACCACCTCTCTGGGAAGCAATGATTTACATTCAAATGTCATTCGACGACGCATAATGAGTGATCTCCAGGCATCACTTGATGCGGAGGTCAGATTAATGGGTAGAAACAACAGTCAAAAGTTAGCTGAGAAATGTAAGGATGAGAAGGAAATTAAGTTGTCTGTACTCCTACTGCTGGAAGTGCTTGAGAGGGCTGGCAACTCTATTAACCAATATCTTCAATCAGACACATATAATGTACGTATCCGTTGTTAGATTGATGCTTTAAGATTTTACAATGCTAGCTGTTTCTTATGTTCTTCATTCATTGTTATGTAATGTATCATATTCTGATTTTACACATCAAACATAATATTATTGCAGGACGATACCAGATTGAGATTACAAATTGTTAGTGAAATTCAGAACCTGCTTAAAAAAGCAGGTTTTGCTTTGAAGCCCAATGACACAGATTTGAATGATATAAAATGGTATGACTGTTTGCATTCTAGTCATGCTTTCCATCAAGTGTCCGACATGGTCATATTTGGTTATATCTGTCATTACAAATTATCAAGTGCAATAATGTCTTTTTATTATATAATATATTACCTATGTTTATGTGACACCTATCATTTGATTGCACTAGTTTCTCACCCACATTGGATCCAGTTGATCGCACTAGTTGCCATTGGCATTGAGCCTCGTGAGTTTTCTGTTGCAGAAGTGAGTTACAATTTGTGTCTTTTTGCATTGCCTTCTATATTATATTTCCTTGGTCCGTATGTTGGATTAGTAACTTAAACAACGATAACGATTGGGTTGAGAATATTTTATTTTAGTTCGATTCCTTTGTAACTTAAACTTCGGCTTTTGCCTTTTCTTCTTGTCTCTGCATGTAAACATGTGGTTTTTTCTCAAACCAGTGGAATTTTCATATCTTGTACTGATTTGTTGTTTAGGAAAAGCATTTGTTTCGGTGTGCAAAGAGGGCTTCTGAGATCACCCTCAGCCGTAGGATTGAGACTGTTTCACACTATGGTACAGGGGAATTTGAAATGTCGTGGCCCTCTGGTTTCGGCGCCTAAGTCAATGGCTTTGACGCCTGGGATACCAAAGAGATAGGGTGGTTTTTATCTCTAGGGATAGATATCACCAAGGTGATAAAACGGTATGATATATATTCTCTCGACACGAATATTAGATGTTGTGTATTCAGACACAAAACTGAAACTTGTTCAAGTTAATTATTTTATAAAGTCAAGGTATCATTACGTATACTGAATTCATACGAAGACCGTCTAATCCTGGTCCTGTCTAACACCTATCACCTGGTCACATATTTGCTTGCTGCTACTTTGAACCATCATTGCATTACGTTGTTTCAGGTATGACTTGTTAGGTTCTCTGATTTTTGTTTTGTTTGGTTTGCTTACCATATTTTTAACAGTGTAAAAAATCAGAACCTTTTATTTGGGGTTTAAATGTGAAAGACCACGAATCAGATTTGGTCATGTCGTTTTGAATTTGTGCACTTTCATTATCCAAACCCCTCGTCTTCTTCTTCCACCCCTATTTTTTAATGAGCATCAATAATAAATAGCCAAGCCTTTGGGCAGCCTTAGACCATGTATACTTTCGCTTTAATACGGATCTCTTTGTCACCTCAGGTTACATATTTTATATTTCCTCTCTTTTCTTTATTATATCGACTTAAGCAGCCCACATCCCGAGCTCGAGCACACCTATCCCACTAGTGTTCCCTCACTCGTTCTCCACTCCAGTGTTGAAACTGTCGTGCAAGCCGCCGAGAGGGTGTTCAATCAGGCCTTGAAGAAGCTGCCATGACAGTCGCCTGCCCTGGATGAAATCCTTGCAGTACTCTTCGCTTTAAGGTAATCCACCGTGCCCATGCTGCAGAAAAGGCCCACGGTTACACCAATTTGGCAGATGATCAGTTGATTATCAGCCTTCTTGAAGATTCCAGATAGCTGATTTGATAAAGGAAGCTGGTGTTGCTCCGGCCAGAGAGAAATTTGAAGTCAAGAAGTTGAGGAAAAGAAGGGAAGAGGTGGAGAGTGCTTTAAGGGACAATACATTTCAAGCTTTGAAGACTTACGGATGAGATCTGGTAGAGCAGGTCAGGAAACATGATCTGGTGATCGGTCGAGACGAGGTCATCCGAAGAGTTATCTGGATCCTCTCTAGGAGAACTAAGAACAACTTGTTCTCATTGGTGAACCTGGTGTTCGGTAAAACTGTAGTTGTAGAGGTTTGTCTCAGAGTTGTGAGAGGAGTTGTTCCTAGTAATCTCAGCGATGTGAGAGTTATCACCTTGGATTTGGGCGCATTGTTTGCCGCGGCAAAATATATAGGTGAATTCGAGGAAAGATTGAATGTTGTATTGAAAGAAGTCGAGGAAGCTGAGGGAAAGTGATTCTCTTCATTGATGAAATCCATTAGTATTCAGTGCTCAGGTTAGCTAACCTCTTTATGCCTATGCTTGCTCAGAGTCAACTTCAATGCATTGTGCGATGACACTTGAGGAATATGGAAGTTTGTCGAGAAGGATGCCACATCTAAACAAAGGTTCCAAGGGGTTTATGTAGCTGAACAGAGCATTGCGGATATGTCTGCCTCCTTCGAGGGCTGAAAGAAAGAATGAGGGTCACCATGGTGTTAGTATTCAAGCCTGAGCCCTAGGGGTGGCAAAGCAGTTATCAATTGCTGCATTACTGGTATATAGCACGTTTCCTTGTTACATTTCATCTTTTAGCGCTCAGATTATTAGTACTTTCACGTGATACTTAGTTGCTTTGTTATTGTGGTGACGGTCGAGACGAGGTCATCCGAAGAGTTATCTGGATCCTCTCTAGGAGAACTAAGAACAACTTGTTCTCATGTGAACCTGGTGTTCGGTTAAAACTGTAGTTAGAGGGGTTTGTCTCAGAGTGAATTCGAGGAAAGATTGAATGTTGTATTGAAAGAAGTCGAGGAAGCTGAGGGAAAGTGATTCTCTTCATTGATGAAATCCATTTAGTATTCAGTGCTCAGGGTTAGCTAACCTCTTTATGCCTATGCTTGCTCAGAGTCAACTTCAATGCATTGTTGCGATGACACTTGAGGAATATAGGAAGTTTGTCGAGAAGGATGCCACATCTAAACAAAGGTTCCAAGGGGTTTATGTAGCTGAACAGAGCATTGCGGATATGTCTGCCTCCTTCGAGGGCTGAAAGAAAGATATGAGGGTCACCATGGTGTTAGTATTCAAGCCTGAGCCCTAGGGGTGGCAAAGCAGTTATCAATTGCTGCATTACTGGTATATAGCACGTTTCCTTGTTACATTTCATGCTTTAGCGCTCAGATTATTAGTACTTTCACGTGATACTTAGTTGCTTTGTTATTGTTTTTTTTTATTATTCAGGATGCCATCTTCTAGACAAGGCTATCGACTCAGTTGATGAAGCTTGCGTAAATTTGAGAGTTCAGCACGACAGTCGGCCCATCGGTTAGACCTGAACATATTGCAGAATGTAGAGGTTGTAAGCCGTTTGATTGACATTCCTGTTACGAGGCTCAGACAGTATGAGAAAGAGGCTGGTTGGGCTTCCAGAGAGGCTGCATCAAAGAGTTGTGGGACAGAACCAAGCAATCGGTGCTGCTGCAGTGGCTGTTTCGAGAGCAGGATTTGGGTGACCTCAACAACCAACAGGCTCGTTCCTTTTCTTGGGTGTTGGAAAGATGGAGCTCACTAAGGAAGTAGCAGAACAACTCTTTGATGATGAGAACCATCGAATCAAAATTGACATGTCTGGGTATATGGAGCAATATTCGGTTGCTCAACTTATCTGTACACCACTTGGGTATGCCGCTGCTCACAAGCTATGCATCCATTTTATGGGATTATACAATATTTACTCAAGTCATTTTCTCTTGTTTTGTGTTTATCAGGTATGTCGGACATGAGGAAGGCAGGCAACTTACCAAGGCGGTAAGGTGAAGGCCACACTTGTCTTCTTTGTCTTCGATGAAGTAGAGAAAGTGCATATCTTCTTCAACACTTTACTCAAAGTCCTGACGATGGTTGGTCAACTGACGGGCAAGGCTGAACTGTCGACTTCAGAAACCTGGTGATCATCATGACATCTAACCTTGGAGCAGAACATATTCTCTCGGGGCTTAGTGGAAAATCTTCTATACAGGTTTCACTCGCCTGAGTTATGCAAGAGGTAATTAAATGACCTAATTCTTATTTTTGTATCATGCTGAAGTTTGGTTTTGATGCATTCAAAGTACCAACACATCTTGTGGTTTGACAACACTAGGTCGGAGTTGTACAACAGGCTGGACGAGATCGTTATCTCTGATCCACTGTTGCATGACCAATATGTAACAGATGCAGCTCTGGAGTACGTATTAGCAGAGTTATGATCCGGTAAGTACCATCATAAATACTTTAAACTGTTAGGATTTGGATTTAGAATATGTTCAATTTTTCATGCAATCTATTATGTTGTGTTTTGCCCGTCTACGAGGACCACGACTTTGTCTTTGGCTTGCTTGGTATAGGTTTTATGGCACGAGACCTATAAGAGATGGCCGGAAATGGGTGGCACGAGACCTATAAGGAGATATCAAAACACAATTATTCTAAAATATAAACAATAACTTTTAAAGACCATATCAAGCATTAAACTACATGGGCATGTTTTAATTGATTGGAAAATTTCTTCAATTCTTCTGAAGGGGTTAATAGTGGTTTGGTGCATGAACTGTATCTTCTTTCTTAGTGTGAGGTATGTTCTTGTCACAATAATAAAGTGGGTAAACTACACAAGTGATCATTTAACTATTCAGCTATTGCCTCCTCTCATTTTGACCATCGATGTTTTAATTTGATTAATCATACCACTCAACTATTTAAATGGTTCAATCAAATTATTTGCCATTCAAATTTAACTTAACAGAGGGTGACATTTTAGTTAAAAATTTGGTATACATTTGGCCTATTACTTACCCAAGATATCAATTTATCCTAATTTTAATTATATTTAATGAATTTAGTCCTCTAATTAAAATGACACATGTCAGTCTCTAATTAAAAGGTCAAATTTATTTATAATCTATTTATTTCATTAAATTAGCTTTTCTACAATAGGAGGATGACATGTGTCACCCTCTTGTCTCAAGAAAACAAACGAAAGAAAGTTGAAATTTGAAGGATTCTTAACAGGGGCGTTAGGTTGTTAAGCAAATGAGCAACTACTAAGGCAAGGATACCAGATGTTTTGTGTTTTACAATATATGATACATATCTTGTATACTTATGTTTAAAATTTAATTCAAATGCATGACATTTATATCATAACTAATTAATATATTTTATTAAATATATCTTTATTAAATTTATTTTATTTTTATTTTAACTTCATATATATATATATATATATTATTTATCTTAACTTTAAAAAAAATATTTATTATTATCTTAAGTTAATAAAAAGATAAAATATATTATTTGAATTTAATTAATAAAAAAGTATTTTTTTAAGTTAATAAAAGAAGAAACTTTATCTTTAAAGTTAACATACGAGCAAAATTCATTTTCAAGTTAAAATAAAAATAAAATATATTTTTTAAAGTTAGGATATTAATTTAAGTTGAGACATATAAAATGTTATGAATTAAATTAAATTTTTAACATTAGTATATAAAGTATATACTGTATGTTGTGAAAATAAACTATCCAATACCCTTGCCTCAGTAGTTGTTCATGTGTTTATCCAAGTGCCCTGGTTGGTATCTCTTTAATGCCAACGTTGTGCAAGTAAAATATATTTCATGTGCATGTTGATCCAATAAAATTCATTTGCTTTATAATCAAGGGTGACACGTTGTAATTAAAAGTAGGATCAAATTGATATTTTGTGTAAGTAATAGGGATTAAATATAATTATACTAAAACTTTTAACTAACACGTCATTTTCTCTGTAAGTTTAAAACGGCGCGCGTGACTTGATTGAACCATTTAAATAGTTGGATAGTCTGATGATTAAATTGACGTCGGCTTAAAATGAAATTTGACAATAGTTAAATGGCCACCAGTGTAGTTTACCCTATAACTCCCAATGTTTGTGTTAATAATTGTTTTAGTCCTTTTGTTTTTTAAATACCTTAACTTCTAACATTTTAATTAAAATGGTTTGTTGATAAATCATTAATTGAATGATTATTTTATAATTTTTAATAGTTAAAAATTTAATAAAATATTTATAATTAAATAATTATTTTTAATTTTAATAATTGAGATTGAACAAATAATATTGTAACAATTTACATAATTTACCCTAAATTTTACTAATAATTATAAAACTTCGATCGATCCGTATAAAATGAAACTCCAATTACAAGTAGTTGAAGTTCTATCGACATTTGACAAGCTTTTTTTCTCTCTATTTATTAAATCCCCAATTTTCGATTTCTGCCGTTATTTCTAGGGTTTCCTCTCCCAAATCTCCCGAGATGCAAGACAACATCCGCCAATTAGTCACAAACTCTTCAATTTCCCAGCCGCCGGTCCCCGAAACCAACGACCAAGCTGCTCAATACGATCGTCAGTGCCACGGATTCTGGTATGACGCCGTTTTGGCGGGTTCGGCGCTTCTTTTCGTGGTTTACCTGGCGGTGAACGCTAAGAAGAATGTTGAGAAGCTGAGGAACGGAAGGTCGTACGTTTTGATTTCCTATTATGCCCTTCTCTGGCTTGCTGCCGGACTTAACCTTTCTTGGTGCTCTCTTCAGGTATATCTCCTATTTGTTTTTCCCCATTAAAAACGCATATGTTGTTTTGGATTTTATTGCTAGCTTTATCGAAATTTCTTCTGCTCTTTTATTCCTTTTTGTTACTGTAAATTTGGTGAATGAAGTTTTAAGAAACGAAATTTGATTTTATTAGCAGAAGTTGATAATTTATCAAGGGATAATGACAAAGCAGAAGGCTTTGAATAAGCCTTGCAACTTATTTTTAGTCAGTTTTGATTAAATATGTTTTTGTTGGTTTTGTTTAGCTTTCCGACTTAATAATCTTTAAGTACAATGCAAATAGCCAAAGTAACAATCAAATGGAGTTTTATTTCAAGCTATCTTACTCCAAAATTCCTTGTTTCTCATGAATGTCTGTATCTAATGCATGTCCGGATATGGATAGAGGATATACCCCTCCAAGTACATGAAAAACCTTAAAAAAAATATTGTAGATACCTATGTCAGACATGTTCTTATAATCGATACTCGTACCTGAGTCCGAGTAGTTGATTTGAACTTTTTCTAACCTTTTGCATATAAGGTATGGATATGATAATTGAAAGCATCTAAAAGTTCTTATTGTTTCGCTCACAATTGAAACTTTAAAACATTGTTTGGAGCTGATTTTTATTAGTTTCTGATTGTTAAACTTGATTGATGAACAGTCATGGCAATGTGCTAATGGAAGGGAGGTTGCTTGGAATCTTCTGTCACTATTAACCACCTCTGGGTTGTTATGTTTAGAGATCAGTTTGGTGGGTTTCTTACTTCAGGAGAGTTATGCAAATGGGCGGGAAGCTTTAGCACGTATTTTCACTATCTCAGGGATCATTGTTGCTGTCGATATGCTTCTCAAGGTAACTTCTCAATATTAGTTGACAATGTTAAATTGTTGAGGTAGTTGTTCTCTGTAGTGTCATCATTCATCAAGAACATGTGATTTTCCCTTTTCAGGTAAACTTGAGAAAGTCGGGCAGGGGAGATATGATGATCTTTATATTAAATCCAGAAAAAAGAAAGAAAAAAAAAACTATGCAGCTTGTTGTGAACTGTTCTGAAAATCAATTTCATTTGTGTGTTATTTTCAGTCTTCTTTCTTGTATGATTATTTTGCAGGCAATCTATATTTTTGGATTTGGGGTCCTGCTCTTCTTTGATGATGTTGGAGGCACTCACCGAATGAAGTGGGGGTTGTGGATCATTCAAAAATTATTACTCACTGCTGTTTATGGCTACATCTTGTTTGTGCATTTCTCAAAATGGAAACAGAAATTGCCCCGTGAGTACATTTTCAATTATATACAGGGCATGTTTTTTCTTGATTGCTACAGCATTCTATAACTCGTCAACATTCTTTTCAAAACTATGCAGCTCGACCGGCATTCTACAACTACGTAGTTATCATGTTTGCTGTTAGTGGTATTGCACTGTTTAGTTCGGGGCTGGCTGCTTTTGGAATAGGCTTTAGTAGTTGGTAGGTTGTGTTTTTCTCTTTTCCTCTGAATGCAGCATCTGATGCCTAATAATTGTTGATTATGATGCTCCAACTCGGTATTTTTATATTCAGACATGGGTATAAGGATATTATATACCTGTAAATTTGATCCGAATTTGAAAACCCAACCAACAACGTGAACCCATCTGACCTAAACCTAAATTAACTTGAACTTGAAATGACCTGAACAAGTTACCAGAACCCAAAATTGAACCAAACCAAAATGACTTGAAAATTTTAGAGCCCGAATTGACCTGACCCTAGAACCAATCCAATCTGATGTTGGACGGGTGATCACATCCTACGCTTGTAACCAAGTTTGAGTAACATAGATTGACATCTGATATCTATTCAGTAGAAAGAGACCAAATTAGGCTTTTCATATTATAACATGCTACGTCTTTTCTTCAGGTTGTACTATTTGGTAGTCATCTACTATCACTCGGTCTATCTCCCTTTCCTGTATATAACTTTCCTAGCCGACTTTTTCCGGGTAATTTTTTCCCATGAATTGGTTACAAACTTTAATGGTTTCCACCCTGATTGTGCAGTGAAGTTAACACAAATTTTCTGATTAGCAGGAAGAAGATTTTCTGTTGGATAATGCATATTACTCTGAGATGAGAGATGCCGGGTTCTTTGATGCAGATTGGGAATAGTGACTGCAACACTTGGTAAGAACATTTGACTGCATATTTGTAAATAAATTCAAAAAGGTTAACAAGTAATTTACCACTTTACTTATGAAGGTGATTCGTACTTATTTTTTCTTTTCTTTTTCGATTTAAGTTTGCAAATTAGGGGTGTAATTGAGTCGACCTCAAGGTGTAACAAAATTTTGAGCTAGACTCGATCTTATTTCACTTTTAACGCTTAAGTTGACTCATAGAAAACAAGTTGGGTCAGGTCGGGTCCGGCTTTTGATTGTTAGAGTCTGAGTTTGACTCATTTTTAACGACCTTAATTTTGTTACCAAAGGCTATTTTTTAGTCTAATATTTTCCCCCAACTTTTTTCACGTTGTATCGTCCAAGGGAATTTCACGATTATTTTAACCCATCTGCACTTCTAGATGTGACCTTTGGGTGATTATAGCTAACTCATTTTTGTTGCGACATAATTCTTTGTTTTGGTTATATACAAAAACAAAAACAAAACCTGATATAAATTAATCGTCATTTAAGATTACCTAATATAATTTTAATTTTTTTCAGTTTATTTCTATTTTGGGACATATATGGTGACATGTAGGAGTGAGTATTCGATTGAATGAGTGAATATTTTGAATTAGTTGAATTAATGAGTCTAATCTATTATTTAATTTATTTATTTATTTTAGTCGAATCATATTATTTGAGTTTAAATTTAAAACATTAAAAGGTCAAGTTAAAAAACTTCTTTCAAAGAAAAATAAAATTTTGTTCGATAACTGATTTACTTGGTAAATGTTTAAAGATAATTTTATATAATTTTAAAGAGTTTTTAAAGAAATTATATATATTTATAATTTTTAATATATCTTTATAAATTTATACTTTATAATATGGTTCTATTGTAAATTTGTGAAAAGATTTTTACATTTATTTTTGGAAATTTGGATATTTTAGTTGAAGGATCAATTAATTTATTTTTAAAATTGAAAATAATTATATATTAATTTTTAATCGGTTTTTTTATATTTGAATCGTAAAAGTTCAATTTGTCTCAAATTAAAAAAGTTATATTCGTTAATTTGATTAACTTAAGTTGAATTAAATTTTACTCACTATAATTACACAATGCTTCATTTACTGTAGGCCTAAACAGCAGTATATTCGCCGATTGTATCATATGGAGGCTCCCCAAATATTTGAGAACCTTTGGTCTATGTTTCTTTGATTATTTATTTGTCTTAAAGTATTTGTGGCCTACACATATTAGGGTTTGTACATGGGAAAATGATACTCCGGTTCAATTATGTATAAATCTTATAAAACAAGTGTTCATACTTGTGTCAGACTTAGCCACGTTTGTTTTATAAAAAATAATTTGCATTTGGATCCTTCATTTAAAATAGAGAAAATAACCTCAGTGACCAAAAATCTCATATAATATATGATTTTAACCAACTTTTTCTGGATTTGCCAAAATGACCAACAAAATCGCAATGCGATCGCTAATTCGCAACGCGATCTCCATTATCGCAAATTCGCGTTGTATTTTCGCAATGCGATAGTTGAAAATCGCGTTGCGATTGTCTACAGTATCGTTGCGATTTTCCCAATTCGCAATGCGAATAAGTAAATCGCAACGCGAATTGGGAAAATCGCAATGCGAATAAGTAAATCGCAACGCGAATTGGGAAAATCGCAATGCGATACTGACTATCGCAATGCGATAATAAAAAATCGCAACGAGATACTTACTTTCGCAACGCGATACTGACTTTCGCAACGCGATAATACATAATCGCAATGCGATTTTAAAGCGCCATTAGTATCCCTGGCCAAGTATTTTATTTTTAAATTCCAAAAACATGAATATTAATATTGGAACACTGACTGTCCACAGTATATCCCGTAATCGCAACTCATAACCTAAAACCTAAAAATCACAACTCAGCCCCATCTCCATCTCTCACTCTCTCACCCATCTCCGACGAAATCCGTCCCCATCTCCGGCGAAATCCGTTCTCCATCTCTCAGAGCCACCCTCACAATCAGAAAATGGAAAATCAACCAAATCAAACCAACGAGGGTTAGTTTTTTTTAATTATTTTCTTTTGAAATTTTTGCATATTATTAGGTTTTTCATATTGAAATTGATGATAATTTACTGGTAATTTCAATAATAGATTAACCATTCACTTAGATTGCTTATTAAATCAACCAAGAATCGCAACGCGAAATGCAAATCGCAACGCGATTTTAGTTTCGCGTTGCGATTCTCTCGTTGCGATAGTCATTTTCGTGTTGCGATAGTCATTTTCGTGTTGCGATTTTCATTTTCAGAACTATTCTTCTTCTGCAAATTGAAACTTGAATGAATTGCATTACTTCAACCAAAAACAAAGACAAATACGAAATTCACAGTGTGCATATTTAAGTTTGAAGAATAAACTACTACTATTTATGTTTATTATTGTTTTTGGTATATCTTCACAGTGTAGTTTTTGGTATATCTAATTTAGTATGTTTATTGTTTTTGTAGAACTTTTATTCGGCTCAATTGACCTTGAGAAATAAGTCAGCCTGGCCAAAACATTGCGTCGAAGCTTTCACCTGCACAAAGAAAAATGTTTGAGGATACATGCTTCGGGCCATGGCTGAAAGTAAACATCCCGGTGGAGATGCGATGTTGACACATGTTTCTTCAAACCATGACTAGCGATCTACCAGAGACTATACAACGTCGTGATGGAGAGATATGGTTTGATTTTCTACCGGCGTATACGTGTTTTGGGCGGGAGTTTTGCTTAATCACCGGTCTACGCTTCGATACATGATGTAGGTCGGTACACTAGACACATTACCCGCCCATCATGGCTATCCCAGGTTTTTCCTGAGCTGGAGAGGCCGAGTCTACACGTAGAAGACCTGACAAGATTTTTGAATAATAAAGATGGTTTTACTCGGATGGATGACGTCGACGTTGTCCGAGTATGCCTTCTAATTTCTTTTGCATGCCGGCTTTTAGGCAGAGAGGCCAGATAACCTATTCCAAATGATCTAATCAATTGGTAGAACTTAAATGCGTGGAACCTGTTTCGTGGGGCTCGTATTTATGGAAAGCTACATGGAATAAGTTATCGTCTGCCTTGGATGATCGAAAAAAGTTTGCATGGCGATGGTTCCAAATACACTTTGACAGGCTTTTTGGGCCTTTATGGTAAGAATTTTTTATATGATGTTTCCAAAATTATAAGTATTATTTAACAATTACTAATGTTTGTTATTATATTGTTTGTAGATTTGGATATTTGAGGCCTTTTCCGCCATGAAGACATATGCAATAAAAATTTCAAATGATATTCCCAGGGCTATTTCCTGGAAGAGGAAACGGGCCTTGCAATGGGAAGATTTACTACGGTATACTATAATAATGTAAGTTAACATAAATACTACCATATGTTTTATAACAATTATTACTAGTACACGTTTAACTTTGTTTGAGCTTTTATTGTTGAGCTCTAAGTCGTCCCGGAAATTACCCATTACTATTAATGGAGTTTTTTCGAGCTCTATTCAACAGTGGTACTACAAGAAAAGAAACCATGCATTTATTATTTCTTTGAATTCGTAACTTATCATATATTTTACTAAGTATTATTTATTTAAATTTACAGGAACATTGGAACATCGTGTTACACCATGGACTGAAAAAGATAACGAAACGTGTTGTGAAGTCACGTCATGGAGAGTTGAACCATGTTCAAACACTTTGTTTGAAGTACTGGATAATAACTAAATGGGCTTGTCGATCTAAATGCAAGGACGTGTAGTTGTATGAAATGGCAAACATCTGGTTATCCATGTAGCCATGTTATAAAAGTTGCTCTTCATCTAAACCAAGATAATTCAAGCACATACGCTATGGATTGCTACACTACAGAAGTATATCGACAGACTTATGCCGAGATTGTCTACCCTATTTCACATCCTTCTGAGGTGGGACATACAGATGACTTACAAACAGTTTTGCCACCAGCCATGGACAGAAGGCTACATGGCCGACTAAAAAGTCACGATCGTATACCGTCTAAGGGTGAAGAGAATAAAAGATCGACATGTAGTCGGTGCAAGGAAAGTGGTCATACAAGGTTGACATGTGGATCACCAGTGCCATCACAATCATCTTTTCCTCTACCAAAATATAGATCATCATCAAAATCCAAAGCTCATATGGTATCAAGAAAAAGGTAATCAAAATCGCAATCATCTTTAAAATCCCAATCACAACTGGCTTCACCTTTTGGGACTGTTAACTTAGGTAATTTTTAAATGCAAACGTTGTATTATGTAGATTTTATGTGAACTTTTAACATTTTCAGTTAGGCATGTATTAGTAACTTGTGTTTGAAAATTGCTATGATAGTTCCAGTTGTTATCACTTAATAGGCAATCATCTTAATGTCCATCGCACGCGGAAATTACTATCGCATGCGAAATGAAAATCGCAACGAGAGAATCGCATGCGAAATGAAAATCGCAACGCTAATTCGCAATGCGAATGAAAATCGCAACGAGGGAATCGCAATGCGAAATGAAAATCGCAACGCGAATTTAATTTCGCGTTGCGATTTTCATTTCGCATTGCGATTCTCTCGTTGCGATTTTCATTTCGCATTGCGATTCTCTCGTTGCGATTTTCATTTTGCATTGCGATAGTACTTTTTGCATTCAACATAATGCAGATTGAAATCAACAAAATCAACCATTACATTTCAATCAATTAACAAGCACAAATAATTATATTAACATCAAATTAAACAAATCAACTTTTACAAATCACCTTTACAAATCAATTAAACAAACAATCAAAAAATAAGCAATAATTATTAGAGAAATAAACATTTCTACTATTGAATCAACTTTTGCAGCCATACATCATTTTCACGCAGCTCCTTCTGAGATTAACCTGCATAAACCAAACATTTGCTCAAACAACACTTTCTACACATCTAAAACCTACAAACAGCAAATTATTGATTCTAGGTACTTAACCAAACATTTTCAACCACAAGCCTATAAACATACCAATTGTTTATGGACATTTTTAAACGCGGATGCAGTAGGCAGCGTCTCGTAATATCGATCTAAGCCATATAATGTCGAAACCACAAGCCTACTGCATCTCTCTATCTCGGTGGGAGGTAGATACTTTATACTTCCTGTGATCAAACGGTCCACGCCAAGCATACGAGAGGACCACAATCCCCTCTGGGTCCTTTCGTTTGTTGTGGTGCGGTCTTGTCTCTGCTAACTGTAATATGAGCTTCTTTGGCTTCTTGTTTCCAGAAACGAGTCCAATAATTTATCGCATCCAAGTATTTAGCCAATAAGAGCTCCATCCTTAAATATCTCTTAAATCAGCCAATGATATGTAATTTATATGCTGTCATATACTATTGCCTTAAGGGATGGGATCTGAAGCTCGACGAGAAGCCAATGGTTACGTTCCAAACAGGGAAACACCTGCAATCATAAGTACTAATTCATTCATTTGCGCACTTATTTATGAATACCTTTAAACTCAATCTAAAATAAACTAACCTATCGACCTCCCACCATGCATGATAAGTTTAGCTTGTCCATTGCCCAACGCAAATGATTCATCTCGTTGATTCTTCAAGTGAACGACGTTAAGACGTCGCATAATTGTATACCGTGTATTTCTTTATTTTCCTTAAGTTTCCTAATTATTAGAAGACGTGACACCCACGCATCAATATGTTTTACAAAAAAATACATATATTAGTAACTTACATAAATTTACAAAAAAATAATCAAATGAAAATATAAGAAAAATATAAGACTTACCCCTCCATCGAAATAGCCATTGTCTTCGACTCCTAATAATACGCCCCACCAAGACCGATCAAGCAACAAATAGATATCATCATTGAGCTTGCATATGCAGTGAAACACCCCTGGCTTCGCTCATGTAGATAAAAATCAACTGCGGTCTTAGCCCAAAGGGTGTTATCCAGAATTGTGTCCGGTAGTTGTTTCCTCTCCTTAAGATACCGGTATGGTACTGGCCGGTAACTCATACGAGAGCCAACTTGAATCCATCATGTCCGGCACGTCAGAGGTTTCTCAAGAATCCTACATATGACCCATGTGAATCGGGCTCTTGAATGGTGGAGGACCTCTTCAACGATGACAGTGGCCTCTTGAACGGTGGGAGGGGA